AGCACAACAACCATCCGAGTCATCGATAGCTTCTCTGGTACACCCGTCCTCCGCCAGCCTCCGTCTCCGGTCTTCCACACTCTACCGACGGGCGTGTCTAGTAACTCTCTGGCACACTCTCTCGCTTTCCTCACTGCTGTCTTCGTCATCACGACTTTCTTCTATGGCATCATCTGGCATCTGAGGACTACAACACTAGCACTTGGCAACGACGACACCAACATGCAGGCCGGTGACCCCGGGAAGATGCACCATTTGGTCATCGACCTCTCGGGAGTCACCTACAACGGCCTCATGTCGGCGTCGGATGCGGAATTTCAAGCGGGGCTCCTGGCAGCCCTTACCAGCATGCCTCTCGAGTCCTCTCCGCCGGTCGATTTGCACGCCGCCTCGACGCAGACTTCCGAACACAACACCCTGGACGCCCCCTCCTGCGTAGTCAACCGCGAGGATTCGAAGAACGCCGCTCCCGCATCTTCGAAGGCGACCTCCACGCCGACGTCTGTTCCGCCCAAATCCGAGGCCATCGACTGTGTTACCGTGCCCGCCGAGCCCACTCCAGCATACGAGGAGGACGATGACGGTGTTTGGGACACGTGGACAAACCGTCGACATCGACGACCGCCGAGGCAAGCACCACCCCCCGCGAGCATCCTCACACGCTCGCACACTCGGTCCTCGTCCATCTCGACCTCGCGTACCTCGGACACCCTCTTCTCGAGCGCATCGGCTGCGTCCACCGCGCCCACCTCCGCCGCGTCCTCCAGACGCTCGTCCATCGCGGCATATTCTCCCGGGGCGAAACGCTCCGCTTCCGCATTCAACACTCTTCCCGTACGGACCACACGTAGCGTATCGTCTCACAACAGATTCGCGGTTCTTGAGGTTTTCGAGGTGGCAGAGTGAGTTCAGAATGGGAGGGGAATTCGGCGGTGGCCACGCCGGCTTCTCCTCCTGTCCTGAACTCGTTCGCTCTGAGGGCGAGTTGGAACCTGGCCAGTTCCAACTCGTCTGACGAGACGCCTTTTTACTATACCTCCATCACATCTACATTACATGCATCCTACTTCGAACACACGCGCTTCACATACTACACACACTATACGCACACTTCTACCATTGACACGATAGGTTCCTAGGCCTTGTCGTTCACATCCTACTTCATCCCAGCGTATGCCTGCGATATTGATTACTTATATATTCCATCTTGTTCATGTACGCGCCGAATATCATTCACGTTTCCGTCCAGTTTCTTCGAGATGCATGGTGCTTTAGTCCCTCTGAACACTCAGTCTCTAACTACCACCGAGGTGTTGACCATCAGCACTTTCGAAACCTCGGTATTGTAGTTCAAGGTAGACGGGTTTGCGTATAGCGGCTCGGTTTCAATGCCCGAGTTCGGAAATAGGGTCGAAGGTATTCCGATCGGCACTGAACCAAAACCTCGACCATACCGGCATTATATGTGTCTAGGGTGAGCAACCATGGCATGACAAAGATATGCCACGGCCAAGATATTTTGCGCCCCGAGTCCGGCGCGAGCCACAAAGCGCACTTACGGACGTCAGTGCGATGTGCACCTATAAAACGGGCCTCCGCCCGGCCGCAGCGATCGCCGCCACACCTCAACTCTTAACCACCAGCCCGAGACTCACCACCACACCACCACCACCACCATGCCCGGTCTGCTCCTCAAAAGCGCCACACGCGTCATGGATAGCAGCACGTGAGCGCGAGTGAGAGGGCGAGGGGAGCGAGTTCGCGTCGCGGCTGCACGGATGGTAATGCTTGCCGAGGCGTTCAGTAACAAACCCGCGCCCGTCCGCCTGGGTTAAGGTTTCCCTCCGAGCGCGTCCACAGGCTCTCCCTCGCTTGACGCAGCTCGCCCACTCACTCGTCCAGCCGCTCTCAGCCTGCCACACGCTGCTTGCTTGCCCCATGCTCGCCTCTCCTGCGCTGGCCTGCCTGGTGCTTGCCCGTCCGGTTCTCGCCCTCTCTCTGCCTCTCCAGCGACGTCTAGCGACCTGGCTGACCACCGAGAACGCTCGCTCGGACTCTGCGGTACGTGCATCAACACTGCGAACGAGTCCTGCGGACATGCTGCGTGCTTCATCCTCGTTTCTCCCTCCGCTCCGTCGCCATATCGCTGTCTATGGCCACGCAAAATGCACCACACGATAGAGGATCACTCGATCGCGTTGCTGGTCAGTTTCCAGCGCCTCCCGACGAAAACCCCGCTCACAGCACGCGATTCTTTAGATCTCCAACGCTGCCATACCCTCAATCCCACACGTTGCGTGCCCAGATACGCCCAGGTCTCTCGCATAACCTGTGCATAGGGCTCGTGTCGACTCGCTGTCGCCGGCACTCGCGACGAGGGACTACACTCGAACCTCGTCGGCGGCATCTGCGCGCGCCCTCAAAAGCTCAATGTGCAACACGCGCAACGCAACGCGCACACATAGGAACGCTGGGAGACGTCGAGGAGCCTCTCACGACGATGCCCGTCGCATGCGCCAAGACGCCGCAGACGTCCCGCGTCGGGAACGCCGTCCACACGCCGACGACCTCGGACGACACTCCATCCATCCTGCCACGCGCCTCTGCTCGTTGGCACGCGCGATACCTCGCTGCAACGTACGTATCGCGCTGCTTTATCATCGTGCACAGTTTCAGGTCGTCCCGCTGCGAACTACGCTGACAATTCGCATTTTACAGGTCGCCCGATCCTAGCAAAGTGCATATCCTCAGCCATGGCCTGTGCGCCGACTCGTATCGATGACGAACGCCATCACAGGAACCATTCGAGTCACCGGAGACGTCGTAGGCGCTGTACAACGGCGTCCTTCGCGCGCGCACCGCCGTCTCCCCTCGCAGCAAAAACGCCGACCCCAGGGTCTTTCACCGCCCCGAACGCGCTCGAAAACACCATATTCCGGGTGTATCAACCACGGAGTACACGCACAGTAAGTCTCAGCGCTGTCGGAGCCAAAAATATATTTCATTTTTGGCGATATTTCATGGGCGAAACCGACAAAAACACACGCCGCGGCCTGGCCCCGCCTCGTACGGCCGCGCCATTCGACATGCACACTCTCATGGGCATCCCGCGACGGCCCTGACGTCGTCCGCGCGTCTCCCGTGAGGTCGACCGGCGACGGCCTACAACACGTCGCCGGGGATCACATCCCAAAACACGCCTACGCGCCGCGCAAACACCCACAGCGCGTAGCGTTTGCGTGCACGACCTCACCTTTGTCTGCACGCAGGTGCCCCGCCCAACACACACCTCCTCTTCGGCCCACCTTGCGCAACACCTTCGCGCCCATGGCTCGGCAGTGCCACGAGCACATCCGCGGGGCCGCTCACGCCTCTGCGCACGCGGCACCATCAAGGCAGAAGAATTCCGCTCTAGGTGCGGCGGTCCCATGGGCACGGCCGCGCGCGCGCGCAGAAACTTCCTGCAGATGGTGCTGGCTGGCGTGCGCGCGCCGCCCGCCGTGGCCCCATCGAATGCCGACGCGAGCGCCTTGGGCGTCGCTGTACGCACGAGGGCGGAGCGGTCTACACCCGAGGGCATGCATCCTGTGCCCGTCCCTGAGCGAGGTCGAGGGAGGGGTGCGGGGCCGGCGGTCGGGCGCGAGCGCACAAGTGACACCGTGCCCGACGAGTGAGCGCCGTTTCCTCGCGCCCGGGTGCTGCAGCACGGACAAGTGCGCTCGGCAGGACGTACGGACGCCGCCGCCGCGGGAGCAAGCCCGGAAGGCGACGCCCGCCGTCGCTGACACGCGCCGCCACGCCGGCATCCCCACACGACGGGCGCGAGGCGGCGGGCAGACACGTAGCACCTCTATGTACGCGGCCCGCCGCGCCCGACACGCATCGAGCCGCCCCGGCCGACCGTCTTCCTCGCGTCCTGCCTCGTGGGCGCCATGTACGGTAATCTAAGTGTGTTCCTACCACCTCCCACCCGATCTCGCCGCCCCAAGACGCTTCTGTCGACTTGCCGAGAATTCGGCCGGCCCTGCGGGGTTCGTGCGGAGGTGAGCTGCCTTGCACGCGCGAGGAGCAGACGCAGAGACTCACAGGTGACGCAGCCTCTGCTGCTGTGCATGCCGCGCGAGAGCGGCGGTCTTGGACGTGGGGATGGGCACGGGAGGATGCGGATCTGGCAGGTACGGGGCTGTCATCGTGTTCGCGCGCGTGCTCACGTACCGTGCTAGGCGGCCCCGAACGATGCCAGCGGGAGGCACTGCTATCGAGAGAAGTCCCGTCAGTACGTAGCTCGCGGGCGTCGCGTCAACTCACCGCGGGTGGCACGGAACAACACGCGCCGCGCCGCCTCGCGCGTGCCCGATCGCGATGCGAGCTGTACGAGTACGTGAGCACGATGCGCAGAATCGTCGGGCGCGACGTACCGTCCAACTCGAGCCGTGCCCCCCGCCGCGATACCGCCCGTCGCGCCCCTGTCGCGCAGCCACGCACATCTCATGTATTTATGTGCGAATCTACGTCAGTTCTTCGCGTCTCCGCCCTCAGCGACGTGCTCGCGCGCACCTGTTGTCCAGCGCGCGCCAGAGCGTCGAACGGGCACCGCCGCTCGTGCAGGACTTGTCTCACTGCGTACGCGCAGTTCGCGGTGCCGACGACGCCCTTCCGCGAGTGGTTCGCGCTGCACACGATGCGAGAGGTCAGCAAACATGTATTCCGCGCAAACAGTGGTTCGTCGAACTCACCTTGCATTGACAGGCATCGTGGCATCCCTCCCTACCGCCTTCAACCTGCTTGACGCGGCCTATACATGAACATGTGCGGCAAGGGATCCTGCATCGACGTACATACTTCTTTTCCCTGTCGCTGACTTACCGTAGATCGCGCCAGGTCCGCGTCGCCCTCGGACAGTGCGAAGCGCCTTCGAGACGTTGACGGCCGCGAACACGAAGGCGGCGCCCCCTGCTGAAATGGCGAACCCGACGTGTTAGCGCACTCCAATGGACAACGAGAATGCGTACCATATCGCGTCCCCACACGCCCAACGTAGGCCATCCTGCGCGGCGAGTCCGCAGACGTTCGAGGAGGGATGGCGACACATACCTGACCCGGAAAGCGCGACCGCCGCGACGCTGCCTCCGTCGTATGCAGTCCACGCACGAAACACAGGCACAGCTATGAACGAAGGGGTCAGCGATGAGCATCGGACAGTCAGCACGACATGAACATACCTTGCGCATGCAGGACGGGCCGTGAGGCGCAGCGTTCTACGGGTTCTGAACGGCAGGGACAGTGGAGAGGATGGTTGGAAAGGAGAAGGTGAGCACGCCCGCGTCCGTCCCGATCAGCCTCGTACTTATACCCGTCGTGATTTAGGGCAGTCCTCGCTCTCCCGCTCACACCATGGTCCGTGCGGTCGCCATCGACCGCGCCTACGCCCGTCTCCGTCGCACAGAATCAACGGCTTACGGACACGGGACAGCCACGTTACGAGACGACCGGAGCCCGACATTGCGCCCGCTGGGTGGGGCACCAACCAGGGCGTGCCACAGCAAGCCGGTGGAGACGGGGACGGCGGGCGAGGACACGCACGGACGCACTGCGGGCGGGAGAACTGCGGTTACGCGGCGCGGGGCGGTGCGTTTCGAGTCTCGACGTCTGGTCTCGACGTGGAGATGGGGACGCGCTCGCTTCGCGCGGCGGGCGCTCGGTACGCGAGTTGTCAGGGGCTGCCCTCGTTTGGAGAGGGCGGGAGTACCGCCGCGGCAGGTTCGGTGATGTATTGACAAGTGCAGCCCGTTCTCGTCGGCCGAGGCGGAGTGGTCGGCAGTGGGGTACCGTTCTTCGGGATGAGGTAGTGTACAATTCCGCTTCCCTTGTACGTCTTGTACACATAGTAGGGCATATGAATATATCTTGTGTGGGCGTTATTCTTGGCCATACATGACGGCGGACCAAGTACGAGTAATACTGAGACCTTACTCGCGACGCGCACAAGCCATCGTGGGCACCCTGCTCGCTCGTTCTTGTACATGACTGAACCAGTATATTTTGCGCTCGTTGTTCTGATGTACGAGACGAGGCATCGTCCCCAATGCAGATGAGAGGTGAAGGAAATATAAAACAGTTGTGGTACCGTGCACGGCAAGCGTTGTGCACAACCTGTTTGCCATTCAACTTGAAACACACGCTTTGTGCTTCGCACAAGTTCGCCATCGCGATCCTTGCATTGAGAGCAAATATAACACATTATTTCACAGATCATGTATATCGTCGAGCGACGGGCATGGCAACTCCGAATTTGCTGTAGAAAGTGAGGATAGCCAAAGCACTTCACCAGCTCCCCGAGATAGCGAAACTTAAGGAAAGCGCAGGACTCGGGCCCGTGCGCCCTCAAACAGGTGTAACATCTTCAAAGCTACACATGCCTATATATTATATACTTAATCATAACGTGCCGAGGCCAAGCGGGGCATGCGCAAATTTGAGATTCTGCGTGGTCATCCCCTTTCAACGTCCCGCCCGGATGGGCAGGACACAAAAAATGCGATCGCGCTGTGGAGTCAGCGTTCAGTGCATGGACGTCCCATAGTACCATAAACGAGAGATACCTGCCACGAGTGTCACCTGCACGATGATAGCCTTGTCCCGGTAGGCACTCACTGCTACCTGAGTGGCCGCATTGACCGTAGATCCAAGCCCGCCTCGGGAATGCATGCCATACAGAGCCTGATGCATTGCCCGCGAGATATCCTGCAAAATTAGTCGTAGTTAGCGTTCACCACTGCCCTCTGAGATGAAACTTCCAAAAGTGTACGTACTAGACAGTGGCAAGGAGCGTGTCCAGGAGCCTCGAAGCTGCAGGTCAAGAAATCACGGTCCGTGATTGTCTGCGGCGCGCTCAGGTGCCCGTCTGAGGCCACTCACTAATTTTGTATACACTACACTAGAGCTACCTAGCAGTTCGACATTCGTTCCTTTCCCGATGGTGTTGCCGTGACCTGTTGAGAGCCTGGTCGCCGCCGAGTTCAGTACGCGGTGGCGGCGGCAACCAATCAAACTTTGAGCGCCAAGCGGTGTCCGGAATCCATTGACTTGGGCGTCCAGATGTTCGCGTAACTGAGCGAGTGCGAGCGAAGGTCCAGGCCGAGGTAGACTCGATGTAGCATGTCGAAAACAGGCAGGCGGGATGGGGGAAGACAAAGACAAGCCTGAGAGTCGACTCGCGCGTGGCGGGCGGCTCGGTGAGCAGTCGGAGTTGCGGCGGCTCTGAACTTGATTACCTGAATAGGCAGTCATACGAGCATCCCAGTACGCCTGGCTCACGCTCTCCTGCCTTGAACCGTCTCTACCTCAACGACTGGCTCGACGACCTCGCTGAAAACCTCGGGCCATGCAGTGTTGAGTATTGATTAGCGACACGGCTGAGCATGACATATGTCTAGATCTGTACCGCAAGATCAGCTCCGAGCGCTGGTCGGCTCGGATTTGCTTCGAGATCTGCAACACGATAGCCGCCTCGGAACCTTGTGTGGGCCGTTGCGGTCGCGATATGATATTTCATATCATCTATTCCATCAATGAGATATACAAGCTACTCTAGTACCTGTAGGACAGAAGTGGAAGAGGTCAGGAATAAGAGTGTGAGAAGCATTTTGCTGCACACACTGGGATTCCAGACCCTTCCCCTTCTCAGTGAGAGGAGAAAATCGGGAGAGTGCGGCGAAGCATTGTACAGCTTGCCGCACCCCTGAGGGGGCCAATTTTTGGGCCACATCAGGACGTAACAATTGGAGACGGAGCACCCTGGATATGGACATTCCCTGAGCATCTCCCGATCACGCCGTGGCCACGAAGTCGGGAATATAATTGGCCCAGCGTGCACAAATAAGCTGTCTACTACATGCAAGCATCAAACGGCAGAACCGCACGGTGACGACCGCTTCGTGCGATCCTCCCACCGATGCCACGGCGCCGTTCTGCACGCGGCACAGCCAGAGTGTTTCCACCTCTCGTGCTCCGTCCAGACCGCGTGTGGTCAGGGCCAGCCATGCAGCCGCCACCCGACGTTCTCTGCATCTCGCCCCCTCACCCTCATCTCCTCCTTCCATGTCCCAACCTTCCCTCCCTCTGTGCATCCAGCGATGCGGACTCGGACCCGCTGCGACGCCTTTGCACTAGCGGCGCGCAGCACGAGGACCTATAACGAAGGTAAGCATATTGGCCTGACTACACGAGACAGAGGTACTCACATATCAGGAAGAAGTTACATGCAATATGCGCACACGTCTCGCGCCGCACTGCACCCTGCCCATGACAACTTATGAAGACCGCTCACTCGTGAGTGCATCACGCCATGATACGGCAGATCTGACTATACACAGCGCCGCTGCAGGGTGATTCTAATGTGCCCCTGCCTCGCACACCACTCTCAGCCACCAGGAACACCAACGGCCTTTGCGAGATGCTCGCGGACGCATTCTGGCGGCATACGGTACATGTAGGCCTTCCACCGCCTCCCTGTCGCGCACCAGGCCGCTCGAGAGGTTGTGGGTGCACAGCAGCTCCGTAGGCTCTGAGGTGAGTCTTCTCTCGCCGAGGCCTTTCAGCTTAGCAGTCTGCTGACTGAGGCTCTCTGCGCACGTCGCAGCAGGATCCTCACGGACGAACACCCCGGTCCGATGCTGCATTCACGCTCTCGCACGCGCACATTCACCACTTCGGACGGATCGCACACGCCCTCATGTACCCTTACTGTTCACTCCATGTTCACCCCATTGCGCACACCTCGAGCGGCTTAGCTCGCTCTCACTGGCCGAGAACGGCAGAGGAGATTCTGCGGCGCGATCGACACGACAGACACGGGCATCTCTCGGATGGTGCGTGTCAGGACTCCGAAGGACGGCCGTGGCGCCTCGCGTCCTGCGATGCAGTCAACCTCTCGCAGGGGCACCACTCGCAGCCTACATCGTGCAGTATTCTAGGACCGCGCGTGATTGCGCGCGCACATCGTCTATTCCGGCGGGCGGGGCAGTCCTGCGGTGCCGATGCGCGTGCAACCTCACCTCTGGGGGCTCGTGAGCCTCCGTTCCGCAGCATGGATGCAACACACCGACTTCCGAGTGTTGCGGTGTCAAACGGGGAGACTCGAGGAGACACTGCGTAGCCAAACGAAGGCGAATCGAAAGTAAATGTACGTACCATCTCGCGATCAGTCCCCCGCGTCCTCCGGGCCCTTGGCTGACTTGTAAATTTCGCAGATTGCAGGCCGGGTGTCATAGTCGCATAGAGAGAGGCCAGACAAGATGATCCAGAAGCCTGGTGTTGCCAGAGAGGCTGACAGAGTAAGAGTCTGAGCGTCGCAGTGCCAGTCCAGAGTGAAGCGGCAGCACTCGCGGTTCCGAGCTGTGCTCTGATAGGCGCCCACTTCCCGCGAGTGAGCGAGAGAGCCCGCGGCGCGAGTCTCATTCGCTCCCCCACCACTCCTTCGCACTGCGATCGGCAAGACGGATCTGTACAGTGCGTCGCCCTCGCACTCACCTATCCGCACCCACTATACTCTATTAGGCTCGCGGGGAGCGCTTGGGACGCTCCGGAATGGGACAGGGCTCGCGTACGGTACGAGTCGTGACACTGATCATGACATCGAGTCTCGGTCTCTTGCGAAGGGAACTCTCAACGCTGCCAGGGAACCAACAATGTAAGTCCAGCGCATGCAGACTGTTTCTCGGGCTAACAGCGTCTGTTTCGACCGACACTCGGGGCATCTAGGATCGAACACTCGGGCGTTGTTGCGCGCATCCATGGCCGGCGGCCGCGCACCTTTCACGCCCACTGCGCCTGTCAGATCTCGCATAGATGAGGTATGGTACGTACCTTTTGGAATCCCATAGACTCCGGGCCGGGGCTGACTTGTCCGACATTACAGAGTGCAGATTGTGGTCACGTAGGGCCGACATATAGCGAGCTGGCAGCGCATCTTGAGTATCACAGGACGCGTCGGACGAGGAGAGGATGGTCGCGGCAGAGAAAAGACGTCCGACACGGCGCGATTTCAAAAAGCCGGGGAGTGTCAGATTAGGCGCCCATACGCCGGCTCGACGGCGAACGCTCTCTCTCCTCCTCCTCTGCCACTGCGTGTATTCCAGGCGGAAAAAAGTGTCTACATGTCGCTTTCTTGCGTCGGCCCATGCGCACCATTTTCTTGCGGGCGTGCGGCGTTCTGGGCACCGCTGTAAGCGATATTTCGACTTCTGCGTATTTCGGCGCAGGCTGACTTGTGCAGTGGCGTTTGTTCTGGGCCGTTACGAGGATGCAGAGACGACACGACGCGACAGCGGACTTCAATATCTCGTCAGGGTCTGTTTAGGCGCCCGTCTCTCGATGCCTCCCCTCGTCTTCCCGCGGCAACTTTGGCTGCGTTCGCGCAGCGAAGGCCGGCGCAAACACTCCGAACTCTTCCGCTTCACCGGCCCGTCTCCCTTTCACCGTAAGTACTGCGTTGTACTTCTCCCATTCTCGAGCTCACTGGGGCAACATTGCAGGTCACGGTACGCTACTAGGCTGGCAGCGCAACGGAATAGCAGCCAGAGTACGGCCCGAGAAGATATCCAGGAGAGAAGCTCAGCACGGCGGGACTTGGACGTTTCGAAAGCGTCGGAATAGGCGCCCATCCCGCGACGATCCTTTTCGTCGCTTCCAGGTCGGTCCTCTGCAGGTATATGCGCGCCGCCGATTTTACTCTTATCTTTCTCGCATTTAGCATGCAGGTGGGCCGCGTTCCAGGCTGTAAGTACCGATTCTGTATTCCAAGGGCAGCGGCGGCGGACTGACTTGTACGGTACTGCAGATAACAAGCCGGCCTCGAACGACATGTACGAGCACAACGAGCCCGTGACAGAACGTCTCCACCACGGAATACGACGCGATGCGAGACAAGACTTTGGAGTCTCGGCCGCGGCGGTGTAGGCGCCCGTCTCCTGGCGAGTGCGCAAAGTCCTTCCCGGGCATCTCTGGGCTCATTGACTCCTCCACTCGCCTCGCCGCTACATTGGGTGCACTCCGGTCGCATAGGACGCGCCCCGCACGGTCGCAGCCGCCTGGCAGCCTTTGCACCATGTAAGTACCATCTCCGAGTGCTCTGCGAGCAGAATTCAGGCTGACCCGTGCAATGTAGGCGTGCGATATATAATACAGGAGAGCAGCAACCACTCGCGGCCGATTCGCGCGGCCAAGACGCGGTGCAACGCGAGACTTGGACGTCTCGATGAGCGAGTGTAAGCGCCCGTTTCTCGTTGAGTGCGCGGAGAGCCCGCTGGACCGCTCAGTAGCCCCGAATGCCTCCATTGGCCGTCCGTATCGTATCCCGTACTGACACAGTGTATTCGAGTATTTTGAGCCGTGAATACGAGCGTTTTTACCATGCAATCGAGCCTCTGCCCCCAGTCCTCCTGCCCGAGAGCTCTCCTGCTCCAACTAGAGCCCGCAACTAGAGCCCTACTGGGCATGCATTAGAGCCCTACTGTCCACGCGGAGTCCGTTTTTATTGTCCTGGCAGTCTGCACGATTCCATCTAGCCCGAACTCACGCGGCCCGAGCGCAGCGTCGACAACGCGCATCAACTCCATCACCTTCTCGTCCTCCCGCTCACCGGAAGGCCCGCCGTCTTAGCCACGTCGTAAAAGCCTGTTGCGCACCGGCCCTTCTCCGCACCGCCGTGGTGCCACAGAGCAAGCCATCGACGAAGGCAGACCCGTGCCCGTGCCCGACACAGGTGTCCGTCCACTCGAGTGGTACGACGTCGCTCGCCCGCACATGCATGCCATGGCAATCAAACGGTGTGTCATCACCGGAACGAGTGTGTCCAGTCGCCCCCTGGCCCGGACCACTCGACGCCCTCCGCCCACATCCGCTCAGCGACGACCAACGCGTCCCCGTCGTGCGTCCGCACAAGCGCACCCGCCGCGTCGTACTCCCGCAGCACCGTCGTCTTCGCCGGCGCGGGCCCCACGTCGCGCATCTGGCGGCTGCCCTCGTACCACACGGTGATCTGCGGCTGTCCTCCCTCGGGCTCATACTCGTTCTCGCAAAGAAGCAACCGGGCGAGCGGCGCCCCAGCTGCTGCGCGGGCGCGCGCGAAGTCCAGCGCGAACGCGATCTCCCCGTCGGCCGGCGCGGTACACGGCCATCCACGCGGATTCAGGGCGAGCGTGGTGAGGCGGGGGCAGCGTACAACGTTGTCCGGGTCGGACGCGAGTCCACTGGCGGGGAGCAGCTCGGTGCAAGGCACGAAGGTGCGGGTGTAGTCGGACGCGAAGAGCGCGAGGAACTCAAGCGCGGGAAGGTCGGCGAGTACACCACGCAGCATGTCCGTGACAATGCGTCCGGCGCGGAAGTCGACGTGCATCCAGAGGCGGCGGAGGGCAGTGAAGGTCGCGAACGCGCCGCTCATGTGGGAGTAGAGTTCGGGCCCGGGCATCGTGGCGATGTACGAGAGGCCGAGGACGACGTCTAGGGGGTTGTCTTGACCGAGCGCGTGCATAGCGAATCCGGATTGATTCGTTTCGCGGTACGGCCAACGCTTGTTGAGGTATGCGTGCGTTGCGCGGCCTCCAACGTTAAAGCGGTTCAGCGTCTCCAGGAGGTGCTCAGAGCTAACCGCTCCTATGCGAGTGACACACGCAGGAGGGATAGTGACTGCGGACAGCACATTGTACCAGATGGTGCGGTTGTGGTCGGGTTCGGCGTGAGCGAAACCGGACACGGGGAGATAGTCTATGACCTCGAGCTCCTGCAGCTGCGGCGAGGCGAGCTTCGGGCCGGCTCGCCAGGCTTCAAGTTCCAAGGAAGGGACGTCAATCCAGCGATAATCGGGGCCATTCAGGTGCATTTTGAGAACTCGGAGATGGGGTGATTTGGAAATGAGAACCAGGAGGTCCTCAATACGTGCATTGCATCGCACAATACACAAATGTGTAAGTGCTGGGAAGGGCTTGGAGGGCAGGAAGTCGCACGTTACCAGACGAAGCGCGGAGAGTCTAGGACTGTTGGGAAAGAGAGCATATGGCGGGAACCTGCACAAACTCGACCGCACGATGAGCCCCCCTGAGATAGTGCAACGCTCGAGGTTAGGAAGCGTCAAGGCGAGTTGCATCGGTCCGTATCTCACGCTGTCCTGGTTGTCGGGGTAAACAAGACATAGGTCGCGAACGCGCGCACCATTTTGCATGAGGAACTTCGTGACACCGCGCCGGGTTGCTAGATCCGCAAAAACGTCGAGAGGACCTTGACCACTGTGTTCCAAACACGCCTTGTACCATGGAGACTCTTTGTCTGGGGTTTGGCAGACCAGAGCCGTTGACCACAAGGAAGGTGTGCCTATTGCTGCACCACGCCATGCGCGACAGACAGCAGTGAGAGGTCGTAGTTGTCCCACGTCGGACGACCTCTCCCAGTCGCTACCAGGACCAGGAACCATGGAAGGCAGTTTACCCGGGACGAGGGAGAAGATGTCCGCAAGGACCTCTGTAGGAAGACGGTCGACAGGAGGAGCCTCAGCCATGAATTCCGAACGAAGTAGGGGCGTAGAATGAGTGGGATATGTCGAGATGAGCGGTGTTGCCAAGAGGGGAGCGCCGAGGGAAGACACGGTCGACTTTGGTAAGCGGCCGCTGCGAGGCTACTTGCCGAGTGCACATCCCGTTTTGGCAATTACCTTTCCTCACTCGGCGTGAAGTCGAACATACGGTGACGGGCGACGCGGTCGCGCCCCACGTGAGCTGCGTTTAAACAAACTAAGGTTCAGTCCGATCGCGTCTGGGGACGCGCAGGGCATATATAACCTCCGTCGCTTGTCCTCTGTTCCCCACCAAATCCCACTGCCCCGAACATCACGACCACCACCATGTTCACCGCCCTCATCTCCCTCTTTGTCTCCATCTTCGGTGCCCTGCGCGCTGCACCTATCTACTACGCTCGCGTCCTTACCCTGGGCAGTACATTCAACTCCTATGCTACCTTGGACGACAGCACAACAACCATCCGAGTCATCGATAGCTTCTCTGGTACACCCGTCCTCCGCCAGCCTCCGTCTCCGGTCTTCCACACTCTACCGACGGGCGTGTCTAGTAACTCTCTGGCACACTCTCTCGCTTTCCTCACTGCTGTCTTCGTCATCACGACTTTCTTCTATGGCATCATCTGGCATCTGAGGACTACAACACTAGCACTTGGCAACGACGACACCAACATGCAGGCCGGTGACCCCGGGAAGATGCACCATTTGGTCATCGACCTCTCGGGAGTCACCTACAACGGCCTCATGTCGGCGTCGGATGCGGAATTTCAAGCGGGGCTCCTGGCAGCCCTTACCAGCATGCCTCTCGAGTCCTCTCCGCCGGTCGATTTGCACGCCGCCTCGACGCAGACTTCCGAACACAACACCCTGGACGCCCCCTCCTGCGTAGTCAACCGCGAGGATTCGAAGAACGCCGCTCCCGCATCTTCGAAGGCGACCTCCACGCCGACGTCTGTTCCGCCCAAATCCGAGGCCATCGACTGTGTTACCGTGCCCGCCGAGCCCACTCCAGCATACGAGGAGGACGATGACGGTGTTTGGGACACGTGGACAACCGTCGACATC